ACTTCTTTATCGTGCAAGTAGAGATGGATTTGAAGCTGCAAAATTTCATGAGTTATGTGATAATAAAGGTTCGACTATTATGATATCAAAATTAAAAGAAAATGACCGGTTGATTGGAGGTTATAATCCATTAAGTTGGCATCCTTATAATTCTCATGTTAATAGCAATGGAAGTTGGCAATCTACATCAGATAGTTTCTTATTTTCTTTTACAAAAAAAGAAGAAATTAATTCGGCATTTTTAACAAGAGTTGCAGGTGATAATCGTTGTCAAATTTATGCAGTATGTTATCATTTAAGTTATGGACCAGCTTTTGGTTTTGGATGGGATTTAATTATAGATCGTAATAACATTATTAGTACGGGTGGTAAAAGTACATATTCAGGCGTATATGATATGATAAATTCTGGACAAAATCATATTTTGGAAGATTATGAAGTACATCAAGTAGTAAAAAATGATTATAAATAAACTGATGTCACAGTTATAATATCACATGACATACGATTTTCATCCGGAAAATAATCAATAAAGCTCCGAATTTTATTTAATGATAGCACCGTGCTACAAATTCTTTCTCTTTCTAACACTGACGTTAAATAACAGTTTTTTGATAACGTTGTAAACTGAAATTCATGATGGAAAATTTTTTATTAGATTTATCCCAAGATATTGGACAACTTCTTACTACTGGAGATGGCCATGATTTAATTATTCAAGCTGGAGAAGGTCAAAATATGAAAGAATTCTTTGCACATTCATTAATATTAAGTGCTAGGTCAACATATTTTAAAACTGCATTATCAAAAGAATGGGCGAAAAAAGAAAATGGAATTATTATTTTTAAAAAGCCAAATATTTCTCCAGAAATTATTGAATTAATTTTAAAATATTTTTATACGGGATTAGTTAATTTTGATAAACAAAATGGAGCACAAATGTTAAAACTTTTAATGGCATCTGATGAATTGAATTTGCATAAATTAAGTGATTTTATTCAAACTTATTTGATTGATAATCAAGCAGAATATTTAAAAAATGATCCTGTTGGAGCTCTTCAAATTGTATTTCGGTATGAGGGATGTGAAGATTTACGTAAATTTTGTTTAGATGCTATTTGTAAAAATCCTAAGACACTTTTTGAATCTCCAAAATTCACTTCATTAGAAAAAGACCTTATTATTCTTTTCTTAAAAAATAATGAGCTTGAAATGGAAGAAATTGAAATTTGGGAATTTGTACTTAAATGGGCTCTTGAAAGAATGTCAACTCAACATAATGTTGATGACTTATCTCAATGGACATCAAGTAATTTTGAAGAATTAGAAAAAATCCTACACGATTTAATTCCACATATTAGATGGTTTCAAATTCCTGCAAAAGTGTTTTGGAGAAAGGTTAATCAATTTGAGCCAATATTTCCAAAACAACTTTATAAAGATATTATGGGATATCATATTGATCCCGACACGCCACCAATTAATACAATATTACCTTTAAGACGTAGTTTATCTAATATTGATTCTGTTCTTATCGAAAGAGATCATTTATCAATAATTGCAAGCTGGATTGATAAAAAGGAAAAGTCTTTTTATAATACTAAAAGTACTCCTTATTTATTCAAACTTCTTTATCGTGCAAGTAGAGATGGATTTGAAGCTGCAAAATTTCATGAATTATGTGATAACAAAGGTTCGACTATTATGATATCAAAATTAAAAGAAAATGGCCTGTTAATTGGAGGTTATAATCCATTAAGTTGGCATCCTTATAATTCTCATGTTAATAATGATGGAAGTTGGCAATCTACATCAGATAGTTTCTTATTTTCTTTTACAAGAAAGGAAGAAATTAATTCGGCATTTTTAACAAGAGTTAAAAATTCTGGAGTTTACGCAGTATGTTATGATTCAAATTATGGGCCAGCTTTTGGAGACGGATGGGATTTAATTATAGAGCGTAAAAAATTTATTAGAACATATGGTTGCGGTACATATTCAGATGTATTTAAAATTATAAATTGTGGTAAAGATTATATTTTAGAAGATTATGAGGTACATCAGGTAGTAAAAAATGATGATAAATAAATTAAATTGATTCGCTGTTACATATCACATGATATGTGATCTTCATTTATTTATTATAAAGTTAGTACGACAATTCTTTCTCTAATTTTTGAAAATAAAAATGGCGGAAAACTTGTTATTAGATTTATCACAAGATATTGGTCAACTTCTTACTTCTGGAGATAATTATGATTTAATTATTCAAGCTGGAGAAGGTCAAAATATGAAAGAATTTTTTGCACATTCATTAATACTAAGAGCTAGGTCAACATATTTCAAAACTGCATTATCAAAAGAATGGGCGAAAAAAGAAAATGGTGTAATTATTTTCAAAAAGCCAAATATTTCTCCAGAAATTATTGAATTAATTTTAGAATATCTTTATACTGGATTGGTTAATTTTAATAAACAAAATGGAGCACAAATGTTAAAACTTTTAATGGCATCTGATGAATTGGATTTGCAAAAATTAAATGATTATATTCAAACTTATCTGATTAATAATCAAGCAGAATATTTAAAAAATGATCCTGTTGGCGTTCTTCAAATTGTATTTCGGTATGAGAGTTGTGAAAATTTACGTAAATTTTGTTTAGACACTATTTGTAAAGATCCTAAAATACTTTTTGAATCTCCAAAATTCACTTCATTAGAAAAAGACCTTATTATTCTTTTCTTAAAAAATAATAAGCTTGAAATGGAAGAAATTGATATTTGGGAATCCATACTTAAATGGGCTCTTGCAAGAATGTCTACTCAACATAATGTTGATGACTTATCTCAATGGGTGTCAAATAATTTTGAAGAATTAGAAAAAATTTTACACGATTTAATTCCACATATTAGATGGTTTCAAATTCCTGGAAAAGTTTTTTGGAGAAAGATTAATCAATTTGAGCCAATATTTCAAAAACAACTTTATAAAGATATTATTGGATATCATATTGATCCTGACACACCACCAATTAATGCAATATTACCTTTAAGACGTAATTTATCTTATATTGATTCTGTTCTTATCAAAAGAGATCACTTATCAATAATTGCAAGCTGGATTGATAAAAAGGAAAAGTCTTTTTATAATACTAGAAGTACTCCTTATTTATTCAAACTTCTTTATCGTGCAAGTAGAGATGGATTTGAAGCTGCAAAATTTCATGAGTTATGTGATAATAAAGGTTCGACTATTATGATATCAAAATTAA